TACAATGCAAAATAAGAAAGCCAGACTCCATCACTATTTCCCCTCTCATCCTACAGGGTTGTTTGTTTGTTTGTTTTCATAGCCATTTTCACGATATGACTTACTTTTTTTTTTTTGTATATCTATGTCAACTTTGTCAGTTGTATGAAAGCAGGGATGCTCTCTTGTTTACTGTTACATAGAACAGAAACCAGTGCTTGAACACAGTAGGCATTTAGTTAATATTTGTTAAATTACTGAGCATTAATACTTAAGTGAAGAAGGTGATTTGATATACATTATAATAACCAAGTTCATAGAAAAGCAGGGAACCTTCTAATAGGGTATGCTTTGTTTAAATCTTTATGTTTATATCACATTTTCTACATTTAATACAGATTGCAATAGTGTTGCATAGTTAGGTTAAAGCTCAGACAGTATTCCTGATGTCATAGTGTTGAGCCATATTACTATCTAAAGATTCTTTTTATGGGAATAATTACTTTTTTGTTCTTTTGACATAGACATCTGACCCTCAATTACATTAACAAACCTTATACACATGAATGGAAAGAAGAATAGCCCCTTTTGAATCCATGTTAAGACTTTATCAATATGAAGTGCTTCCCACAGGGTTCTACTGAAAGAACTAAACTTCCATCATAATGAAATTGCAAATTCACTTGTATATGCTCCTTTTATACTTGAAAGCTACTTTTTGATGTTTTGGTCTGCAATTAAATTTATTGTTGAGGGTCACAAATATGCAATGCTGACTAGACCAAGTTGTCAGAATCTTTTATCTATTCAGTATTGCACAAAGACAAATGGCTATCTTTTCAACAACAACATACCAAAGCCAAAATTTGTTCCCAGATGTACATAATCTTTTAATCAATCTACTGCTTTCTTTTTTGCAGTCAATAGGCTCCTAGCCTACTCCCTTACCACACCACTTCACTAGATTATGGGTTTTAAATTACTGTGAAACACTTTCTTCAGATGGAAATAGATAAGTTTAAGAATTTTAATGCTATAATTTCCCCATGTATATTTTTAGCTTAACATATGAATTATTTTGTCTTTTCTTCCATTCTGTATAAGGTGGATAATTCTGTAATATGTTACTTAAATTCAGTGGTTACATTTCTCATCATTAGCCTGACCATAAAGTAGATCATGTCATTAATTGAAATGCATCCTAAAGTGTTTTTAAATATCTCTGTGCACATTGATTAAATTTTTTTCTGAGATTCTTTATCATCTTCAATAATAGTATATATATTTTAAATGAAGATAGATTTCCTTTATGTTGGGCATTTCTTTGGTGGCCTTTTTCATTCAAAAGACACATAGAAAAAGTTGCCTGATTTGAGGTTGTTCTTTTTATCCAAAATATCTGTCTAATATTAATATTCATTAGAATTTTATTTTATCACCAATCTATGGATTTTTTCAAGGAATTTTGACTATAAATTCCCAGTGGCCCTTTAAGGTGATTATATCATGGTTTAGTTGTAGGTATAATCACCTTAGATAAAGGGTCTTAGAGTATTAGGTGTCTACTTTATGATATTGTTTAAATAGGTTTTGAAAACCTGAGTCTCTCTCTCTCTCTTTTTTCCCTTAATTACCATGTAGTCTGTATCTTCCCCAATTAAAGACAATTTTTTAGTAGGATGGATAGGAGAAAAACATGTTTTAAGTCAGATCAACTTTTTCCTCCACCATGAATTCTGCTATTAATTTTTTGTTCTCTAGGAAGTTAATGCATTATTTTGAACCCCATGCAGATATGGAATAGAAGAAAGCCTTTTCATAGAATTGTGATGTGTTTAATTGAGACAACACATATCAAGGGCCCCAAACAGTGCCTGGCAATAATAAACACTCAATAAATATTATTTGGAATTTTCCCTTTCTGCCTGCCTCCACCCATGCCCACTCCCCATGCTTTCTGGGCATGCCAACTCTGTTGTTTTGCATTCATCAAATTAATAAGAAAAGTCAGGACCTCAAATTGACCTATATGTAACACCATGCAAGTGTATGTGGCCTTTTTCTTCATGGCAAATTAGTCTCCCAGAGACTAGGTAAAATGAAGAATGCTCTGCTCCCATCCCTATTTTCAGACCAGGTGGAGCTCTTAGAAGATGACTTTAGCCTTTCTTCAGCCACCAGATCAGAGAATTGAGCTGCAAGTTATGTTAGTATGACATACAAAAGTATTATCATATTAATCATTTTGTGTAAAGTGATTTGCTTTATTGCTTATTGCTTTTTTGACCATTTGTAATGCTCAGGTCATTAACCCTGCATTTTACCTTTTAAAACAGGATTTTAAAACATGAAGCTGCATTGTTTAAAAAATATTTTAAATGTTTTTAAGATGATTTTTAAGATGATACTATAATTCTTTACAGAAAAAAAATTAATCATTATTTAATATACCACTTTGTATACCAAAACATGCTATTTTATGATTGTAAATTTTTGTTTCAGGTGCAAAGATGGTTTGAAAGGATTTACGTTTTCTGCACTTAGGTAAGTACTATTTTATTTATCTTTATATTGAAAGCAAATTTATAAGTTAACTTTTTTAAAAAGATAAATATTATATGTAACTGCCATAAATATTCATTGGCTAAATTTTTAAGGTCATGTCAATTTTAGAAGTCATGATAGTATATCCAAGCCTTTGTGAGTAGTTCATTAAAAGAGTAATTTATCAGATTCCCCCACCCCCTAAAAATCAGTCAATTGACTCCTACTTTTTGGACCCATTGTTTTATTTATACTGTAGGGTAGAAAGACAAGAACTTTGACAAACAAAGCTCCACATGAACAATGAACAATTATCAAAAAAAGTTACTTAATTGTATGGGACTGGATTATAAGTAGGACTTATGTGTTGTCAAACAGTTATTAGATTTTAAGTATTGCTAGTCTTTTTCTTTTACTTCATAGTCCATCTCTTATCATAGTAGTTGGCACATGTGTACGTGTGTACACACACTAACACACACACAATAAATGTGAGTTGTCACATAGTTTATTTATTTAAATTTTGCATCCATCTCTGAAATTGGTTTTTGCTCATGTGACATGATGAAGAAACCAGGGTCAGAATGTTTGACTAATTTAACATCATATAAGTAACTCAGTGTACTGACTCTATCACACTCAATGTTCTTCCTGTTTACAAATGTTCCCTGTTTTATTCTCCAAAATACATGTAGGAGATACTTAATGAAGATTAGTAGCATGGTATTTACTACAAATATTCAAGGGAAACTTTAGAATAGGCTTTAGTACTAGGAGAAGTTTTTGTAGTATTGTTTCATGAGGTTATGCTGAGGATCAAGTGAGTGTTTGCACAGTGCCTGGCAAATAAGATGTACTCAAAAACTGTCAGATATTATTGTTGCTAGTAATCTGATAGATGATACATGCCTTAAACTATAGTTAAAGGATAGCTTTAGATGACTGACAGCAAAGAGGAAGAACCTCAGAGTGGAAGGGAATAACATTAGCAAAAGGATGAACATTATAAACATGAAATCTGAGGCAAGAGTGAGAAAATTAACATAATTGGTAAGAAAAATTTTTATTTGAGTATATAAAGATATTTTCTAGTGGATAAAGTTGAGTCAGTTTATGGAAGACATAGAAGGAAAAAAAAAGACAAATCTGGATTTGCTAAGGGGACAGTAGGGAGCCACTAAAGATTTTTCAGCAGGGTAGTTAACATCTTCAGAAAGATTAGTCTTGCCCTAGTATTTGGGATATTGAAAAAGAGAAAACCAGAAGATACAAAGATGAAATAATAAGGACTGGGATGTGGGTACACTAGAAAGCAAAAGACACAGCTTGCAATGTAAGAAAATGAAGACCCTGTTACTGATATTTTGTTTCTTTGTCTTCTCCTCCACTCCTTAATTTCAGTAAAATATTTAAAACCCACATGCCTGAAAGAAGGTATCATTAACAGAAAATCAGATGACTTGCAAGGAAACTGGTTTATGAGGAAAAAAATTGAGTCCACAGTGTGTTTAAGAATATTTTTGATGCATGCCTAGCATACATGAAGCCCTGAGTTAAATCCTTAGCACTGCAAAAATAAATAAATAAATAAAATAATAATAATAATATTTTTAGTTGGGGGAATTGCTATGGTAGCAAAACCTTTCTAAGTTATAATACACAATAAAATGTTTAACCTTGTTTTCTAATTAAAATATAAAATTTTATTACAAAATAACTGTTTTAATTTGCTGTTGTTCTTATATTGATTATAAAGCATTCTGTTTTAACTGAGAGCTGATGACAAAAGGGTGGTTTCTCTAAAGAGAAAACTTGTTTTCCTTTGCAAAAATTCAAAATGTATCAGATATTTTTGTGTCTCTTCTTCAAATCCACTTGTAATAAAGGGCTAATTTGAACCATTTGTATTTAATTTTTTCTGTATTACAGGAAAATATTCTGGAAAAAATTAATTCTTGCTAGTACTTTTATTGTTAAAAAATATCATTAAATAGCTGGATGTGCTGGGACACATTTGTAATCCTAGTAACTATAGAGGCTGAGGCAAGAGGATCATAAGTTCCAGGCCACCTCAGCAACTTTAGTGAGACCCTAACCAACTTAGTGAGACCCTGTGTCAAAATAAAAAATTAAAAGGGCTGGGGATATGTCTCAGTATGGTTAAGTGCCCCCAAGTTTAATACCCTGTACCAATAGATACATAGATAGATAGATAAAACTATTAAGTATTATGTGTTGTTATTGAATTTATATTGTATATCTCCTTCCATTAAATAGATTTGATTTTATTTCCAGTTTTCCACATTACAGATTGATTGTTCTCAGAGATACAAAGTTGATACTCAGAATAGTACCAAAAGCCAAATATACATTTTATTGTTAAGTTTCATTATTAAAAAAAAAAAAAAAAAAGATGTGGGCTAATATATATAGTCTTACAAAAAGTATTTTCTGACGTGGTTTTCTAATTCTACCTCTTTGCATTTTTAGCTGTACTGATTTTTATTGTAGACATATGCTATAAATTTATATTATGTTAAAAACACAACATTTAATATTAATTACAAAAAGGTTGAGAAAAATACTTGCTGTAGCCAAATTTAATATGACTTCCTAGCAATATTAATGTTTGATAAGGAAAATATATATAGTGCCTGATATATTGGGGAATGCTCACCATTCTCAAATTTAAATGGTTACAGTCACAAACAGGCTTGAAGTAATTACTCTATCACGAAAACACATTGTTTCATCTGAGAAAAACCTTCCTTTACTTACAAAGTAAATATTCACAGCATACTTTATTTAATACTTCTCAATTAGACATAGCTTGAAAAGATTTAGAAAATTCAGCTTTAAGTTTAGTTCAGCACTCATGTTTTTTAAGCACTCAACATGTGAAAGTCAGATAACATTCATTCATTCTAAGTTTAGTAGGCTTTTACTTTGTCCCAGGAATTGTATTAAATCCTGGGAATACACTGGTGAATAAATCAGATATAGTCTCTGTCCTTAGAGCTTATAGTCTGGTGGGAAGACAATGTCAATTATATTTATGCCCCATGTTACAACAGAGAAGTGTAAATTGTCTCAGGAATATTTTATCCAGACCTAACTTAATTTATTCCTAAGTTGTGGATAGGAGTAAAGGTATTACTTAAAGAATAGAAAAGCCCATATGTTGTGAGAGAATAGAAATTTTCTATATATTTCAGTGATTATTTCCTTTACCTTTGAGAGGGTATAGATAGATAAATAGATAGATGGATAAATAGGTAAATAAAGGATGGGATGAAGGACCATGTAAAATAGCCTTTAAAAGGCATATAAGCATTTAGCAAAGATGTAGGGAAGAATGATCCAGGAAAGAGGAGCAAGCATCAGGGCATTGGTTTATTTGGAGAATGGCTAGTAGTTCATTTAGCTATAAAGCATAGTTAGAGCTCATACAGTGAGTGCTTTCACAGTCCTAGATAGTGTTCTAAATGGGAGGTTGTATTTAATTTAGTAGTCCATAAGGCAGTGAAAGTCTTTTAAGGATCAGAGCAGCAGCTTTAAGAAGCTTCCTCTTGAATTTTGTGTAGAATGATTTAGAAATTATCTCCATATACATATAATAGTAGAAGTCATAGGAGTAAATAGAAAGAGTCAAGGACAGAACCCAGGAAGAAGAGCTAGTGCTGGTAGTATCTATCTGAAGATGCACTAATACCTGTTTACTCTAGTGTAAAACAAGGGGACATGGCTTGGTGATTAAGAGACAAAGCCTTCAAGTTGGATCATTCCATGTTCAAATAATTACTGACAACTTATTGACAAATTTAATATGACTTATTATAAGTGGATAATGGGTAAGATACTTATTCATGATAATTCTTATGAGAATTTTGATATCTATAATGTGCCTGTGTTGCAAATATTAAAATGATTTAACTTTTGTAAAAGGCTTGGTTGGCATTGTCTGTTGTGTATAAATACTCAGAAAATGTTAGCTATTACTGTGTTCACTCATTCAATATGTATTAATCAAATATTTACTATGTACATGCCATACACTTTACTAGACACTGAGATATAATAGCAAAGAAAATCTACATAATCTCATGGTCTATATAATCTTATGTTAAGTTTAGTGGGGGCACAGAGTATTAAAATGGTGCATATAGTATTGGGGGTTATTGCACTGTGAGAGTACAGAGTAAGGATCACCTACTCCCCCTGACTTCAGGCAGGGACAACATCTAAAAAAGAAGTGACCTCTAATCTGAGATAGTCAACACTATCAGAAGAGCAACAGTATTATGAAAGGTGTGAGAGCTACTGTTGCATTTATTCTAAAATATTTTTATCTGTGTTGCTGATAAATTACAGTAGTACCTATCTTAAACTCTCCTGGTACCCCCATGAGTAAGGAATAAGTTCTTTTCGACTAAGAGTGACTAATGATTCACAGCTGACACCTGGTGGCAAATAAACCTTTTGCACACACCCCTTATCATTTGATAAACTATATGTTTACCAAGTTTGTCCAAACAGAATGGATTCCAGTTGTTGATTGTAATAGCTTTTTCTTTCTCTCTTTTCTGAGTGCTTAAATTTTCACATTTTGTTTTCCATATGCCCCAGGTTTCAGAATTTTGGTGTAGTATTATTGATTGTATGTTTTATTATATTTTGTTCTATATTCTGCAAGTATCTTTAGGAAAGCGCAGTTAAGAAGGCTCTGAGAGAGGATACTTCTTAAATATTATCTAATGGTAGTAACATCTGCATTGTCTTTGGAAAAATATTGTCCAGTTTTGTTGAAATAGGAATGGTGTCATTTACTGGATGTTTGATATTTTTCTGAAGAAAAATAAGTAAGTTGGAATAATATCAGTTTTAAGATTTCCTAATGGAATAATATGAGGGTATGTGGAATCTTAACGATCTCCTGTTCTCATTCTTTAGTTCCCTCTATTTTCCTAGGTGTATAAATGACCTTCTACTCTATTGTAGCTGTTTATAACTCAAAGTAACATTAGGTATAAATTTAGTTTTACTCTAAAAGAGAACCTAGTTCACTTGTATATATTAGTAGAATTTAGAGAAAAATATATTTTTTTGTTTGACTAGTAGACATAAAACTATCTGCTGCTTTTGAAAATCTTTAAGGCATGTAATAACTTAAAACAAAGGTGTCCTAATTAAAGATTGCTTCATAGAAGTGTTGTGCTATGTTTTACTTAATTTGATTTAAAATACTTGCATGTTAAATCTGACTTCAAAATTCTGAGTATTTCTCAGTATTTAAAATTTGAAAGTCTTTTTTTCTTTTAAGGATAGCTATATTATATTAATTGTGAAAATACTATTTTAAATAAGATAGTCTCCAAAATGTGTTTATGGATAAACAAAATTTTTTTTCTTATCGATTTTTTTTTTTAAATAGTGAAAAGTGCCTCACATTGTTTTCTTTTCTTTAGGTTCATTGTAGGCAAGGAAGAAATTCCCACACATTCTTATTCACCAGAGGCAGCATATGCAAAAGTGGAACAAAAGAGAGAGAAACATGAGGAAAAACCAAGAAGAATGAATATAATTTCTCTAGTTAGGAAACTTGTGAATTTAATGTGAGTTTTTTATCTTGATATTTTAGCACACTATATGATATCTGTTCCATGCCAAATTATTTTTGTTTTCAGGTAACAATGTTACTTTCTTTTTTCACCAGAAACTGCTTAGAATTTTACAAAAGGCACATTATAGCAAGTGAATGTTATTCATTCTCTCTCATAGAGTAGACCATCATAGGCCTTTAAAATAGATTTGCGTGGAATTAAATACTATTCTATTTTCAAGTAGCAGGAGGCTGTGATGGGGAACTTCGGGAAACAGATTAAAACATGCTAATTGAATATGCCAACTATAGAACAGAGAAAGAAAAGTTCCTGAGAGAGATTCAAGAGATACAGAAATAATAAGGATTAAGAATTAAGAATATTTTGTAGAACAAAAATTTACAAGGGCTCTCAGACTGAAATAAGGAATCTTTATTTTTCTGTTATACAAAAGAAAAAAATCTTTATATTTTATATGTTCATTTATATTTCCAGTATAGACATTTAATAAAATAAATTTAATGATTTAAAATTGGAATATTAGTCAATAAGAGCAATCATGGTAATGATATTGTAGAGAGGGAAAAATGAGTAGGCAATATTGAAAGTTAAAGATCAATTATAGGAAGATGAAACCCTTTAAGAAATCAGAAAACTGACCTTTGACTCTCATTTTGCCTTTTCCAGCTTAGTGACTTTTGACAAGTGATTTATTTAACTATTATGCATTTCAAAGTCCTTATCTATTAACTGAGGTTAATAATCTCTATTAAAGATTGTTATGAGCATTAAATGAAAATAATATATGAAATTGCTTGATGTAATATAGGAGCACAGAGTGGATGTTAAATTTTTACTGAATTTAAATATTTTGCCTTCATTTTAGCATATACTATACATAAAAGATAAGAGTAAAAAAAATTGTGGATGACAGGAATAATCGTTATAGTGAACTTATTTAAAAGCAAGTTAAACTCCATTTATGTATGATATATCAAAGTACATAAATGCATTCTACTTTTGTGTAAAACCAATTAAAACAAATATAAAATTTTCAAAAGAAAATGTAGTTAGAGTTTGATTATGTTAGTGGAGAAAAGGAATAGAGAATTCTCCTTAATGGAAAATGAGTTTCATGAGTGAATGATGCCTTGGGTATCAGAACTGATCAGCTCATGGCAGAACTTGTCATAGTAGATTCAGTAGGTCCTCTGGGGTGAAATCAGATACAGAATAATACAGAAGCAAAACAAATAATAAAAGAGAGGAGCAGTCCAGACTTTAACCCTTTTAAAAAAGTGGTTAAAGATGACAGTTTAGTAGAAATCAGGATTTAACTTCACTAGCAAAGAGAGGTTAATCATTTCTGTTCAGCTCTGGTAGCAAAGACTGAAATATCTTTGAAGAGAACTCTTAGAAGTATGAAGAGTGATGGTTTGCATGAGGCAGTCCTTCTATAATTCACTTCTTTTTACACCTCTAGCTTTAATCACTCAACACTTCACATGACCAGATAGGTCATACCATTCTAATAACATAAGGGCTTAGGTCAGTATGAACTATTGCTGTCACCTTTGACTAGAAAAGGCTGCATATATAATCCAGCTGCAGTCCAGAATTGGATTTCTGAAAAGACCTCACTAATCAGTTTGCTAAATGGGATTAGAAAGGTGCAGATCTAGAACTTTATTTTGCAAGGTTTTATTATAAATGGGAAAGTGTTTATATGTTTCAATCATGGAAATAATTAACTAGTCTGAAAGAAGTGACTTCTTTTGGAACATGACTCTTTTAGAGAGAAAGGAAATAGCTGACCCATGTTAGTCTACTTACTTCTTTACACCAAGGGTGAATAAATAATCCTACAATAATACATCAAATAATTAAAATGAGTATGTTCTGAACAGTTCTCTCAACAGAAATGTTTATATTAAGCACTAGAGGGATAAGTAATTTACAGTTAAATCACAAATAACCTACTTTTGAATTCCCACTTGATTTTTTTCTATATTTATTTTTAAGAAACTGCATTTTGATTCTAATACTGTATCATATTTCTTTTCCATATGTTTTCTCTCAAATATAATTAAGTATAAATTTCTGTAACCTGAGCACATTCTCATTATGATTTTTGTTCAAGTACTGGCTTCATGGATGATTTATGACCGTTACACTATGCATTAAGCCATTTAAAGCTTCCAAAGATTTGGCAGTGTATAGAGATAATCTCTACATATTTTTCATAATGTGTCAAAAATACTAATATTTTTGTATTCCACATTAATTGTTTTGACTACAATCACATATTTTATACATGTGTCAAATGGTAAACAACAACCAAAATAACAAAATATTGTTATCCTTCCTTCTGTATGTCCTAAAAGAACAAAATTTGCATACATTTAGAAAAAGTGGAGATATTTTTTCTTTTTTTTCCCTTAGAAAGTTTTAAGCAGATCTACAAATATACACATGTGTACACACATATTTTAATTATGATTAGTTTAGTTTTATTTTTCTTGATTTAATTTCAGATGCAAGCATGGACCAAGGCATAGATGTTGTAAACACTATGAAGATAATTGTATCTCTTATTGCATTAAAGTAAGTATATTAATATATCTCCTTTCTTATTGGGTAATATATGTAAAAACAACTTAGGAAATAATTTCCAAGTAAATGGAAAATTTGACATTAATAATTACTAACATTCTTTGCATTTGATTAGAAAGTAAGAAAAACATAAGAGAATAGGTAATGATATTTAATATTTTAATATTTACTTACCTTAACTAAACAATTTTAAAATTAGCTTATCTTGGGCTAGAGCTGTACTTGTACTCTAGTACTTGCATATGGGAGGCTCTGGATTTGATCCCTAGAACTGCAAAAAAAAAATAATAATAATAACTCATCTAAAACTTATGAGGTAAAAGAGACGATGAGGTAAAAATAACAAGAAAAAAGAAAAATTATTAAAATGTGTACTTGGTAATATATACTCATTAGAAGTATATCCTAGAACAGGTCCTTGAACTGTATAATTTGCTATCTGGATCAGTTTGTATACACTGTGTACTATCTGATACAATGGTATTTGGTTTTGGACTTATAAATCTATTACATTTTTAAAAAGCATCAAGCTAGTTGGATCATGTCCTCAGTTGCTCTACATTAAGAAAGTTAGCTGTGTCCACTCGTGTAATTAATTCCCTACTGCCTACTATACTTGTGTAATAGTTTAAAACTACTCCCTACTTGCCACCTCCATTTTCCCATCACTACCACCTCTTGGAAGAAAGTTACTTACCATTGCAGTTAGCCTGGCACAGGGAACACCACCTGCAGCAAGTTCCTTAGTTTTGCATGGTGCTCTTTATAACTCTGATGTTTTTAAAAGTTGATGTCCTTTCTTGCAAGGTCCAATCCCCATTTGCTGATGATGAGAAGAGCTGAATTGCGTAACACCCCAAAAGATAGTTTCCTTATGGTTTCTGCAGAAAAACTGTCTGCCTCACATCAGTGCTTATGAATGTGAATGAATGCCCTCTGGCCCATCCCTGACAATGCTGTTGACCTGAGCCCATACTTACCTTCAGAATCCCAAAAGATATGACCAGGAGTAAAAGCAGTAGAATATATTTTCAGTGCACTGTGGTTTTTGATACACTCTTTACAAATTTGATTTCCTTGCCACACTTATAAAGTGAAGAAAAAAAAAATGAGATAGCATTACTGGCAGTCTCAGAACCTGCTATCATCTCCTGGAGGTTATTCTTTCCATCTAAGCATGACCGTAGTTCAAGGGGAGAATTCAGGAGAGGAACTGAGAGAAGCATTCTGATTAAGTCAGAGAGAGGTATTTTGAGAAATTTGGAGTTGGGAAAGTTTATATTAAATTTTTTTTGGAAAAAATAAGTGACAATTACCAAGCAGTGATTCTTTCAAATGTGTACCAATATTATAATATTTGATAAAAGTATTTGGAGACTTATGGATGAGGCATTTACACCATGAATACAGTAAAAGTTTTTGAGAATGAACCTCATTTTTCCACAAAGAGCAAAACAACATATTAAATCATCCCTGAGTAAGTATTAATATTAATTAATTAATATTCATATTAACTATATTTTACTCAATTCACCATACTCTTCTTACCCTCTTCTTTGTTGGTTCACACTTTTGGTACTTACAAACTCTTTAATGCCTCTGTGCTTGGCTATCTGAAATGTTTTTCTCATACTATTTCTTCTCTTTGGGGTCTATTTAAGAGTCACATTCTCAGTAGCCTTCCTTTACCACTTAATATAAAATAGACTGCTCTTGTGCCCTGGTTACTTCCTTCTAACATTTATTCTAATCTGTAGTTATTTTATGCTCATTTGTTTCCTTACATATTTTCTCTTTTTGTAGCAAGCATGAGAAACTTCATGAAAGTCAGAAGTTTATATCTTTTTTTGCCACCGTATCCTCAGCATCTAGTGTAATGCTTGGCATATAGTAGATGTTCAGCAAATATTTTCTGAATATACAAAAGGGTAGATGAGTGGATTTTCAAAAAATTTATTTTTTTTAATTTTAATTTTTTGAAAATAGCATAAGAAGATTGTCATGTGATTGTGATCCCTGAATCCCTAGGTTAACATTATAAGATTATCAATGACAAAATAAAGGTATGACCATTTTATGCATTAAACAAATACTAGGCACTTTCAATTAAGGAAATGCATGATAATTCACAGTAATTGATCTACTAATTTGCTTTCCATGTTTGAAACAGGTATTAGGTAGGCTCAAGTAAATTAACCTTTACTTCTTCATACTAATTCAATGTTTTCTAGAAAAGAAAGTTACAATCTGGAAAATACAAATCTGATTTTTGGAATCAGCATGGAAGCAAGGCTAGGAATGCAGATATGTTCTCTTGCCAGTTGGGGTGAGAAGAGAAGGGGATGGAAGACCATACTACAATGTATTATCAAGTTTAGTTTAGTATATCTTTTTCAGAGGAAGGGTACTGGGGATTGAACCCAGGAATGATCTACCACTAAGCCCTTTTAATTTCTTTTTTTAATTTTGAGACAGGGTCTCCCCAAATTTCTAAGGCCAGCCTACAACTTGCAATCCTCCTACTTCAGACTGGGATGACAAGTTTGTGCCACTTTGCCTGGTTTTAGTTTAGGATATCTCAAAATGACCATCCATTCCCTAGCGATGTTTTAGTCTGATGCACATGAGAACAGGAATAAAATACACAGATACAATTATATATTCCCTAGGATATTCTTTTAATTTGATCATTGAAAAAATTTTGTACCAAAGGTCTAAAGAAATAATACAAATTTTTTATCAAGAGAATCCTTACTAGTACTAATGATTAAGAACACTTTTCTGTTAAAATTCCCAGAAGCATTTGGTTTTGTGAGACATTTCTTATTAATTCCAGTGCTTTTGTTTCTTAAACTCATTTGTGGTTTAGAAATTTAAAATCCTGATTATCATCAACAAAATGACAAGAAATGGAATTTTGGTGCATAGTCAAGTTTGGCCAGTGCTTATGAGACTTTTAAAATCTTTTTAAATCAAATAAAATATACTCACTCCAAGATTTCACTCTTATTTTTAATACACTTGTTTTAAAATTATTATTTGAGAGTTTAAGACTTTGTTTTTAAATTTTCTGTGATATTAAATATTTATGAGTTTGACTTTGCTTCTGAGATGGTAAAAATAATATTTTATCAAACTTCAAAAGTTGTTTATAAATCAGTTTTCTTCCCAATTTTCCATAGGGTTTCATCAGAATGTTTAGCGTGGGATACTTGATCCAGTGTTGCCTGCGAATTCCCTCTGCATTTAGGCATCTGTTTACAAAGCCATCCCGGCTACTTTCTCTCTTCTACAATAAAGAAAACTTCCAGCTTGGAGCTTTTCTTGGTTCTTTTGTTAGTATATACAAGGTAAGATTTTTAAGAAGAGAAAAGAAAAATGTGATAATAAACAACATGGTTATTTTAAGAATGAAATATGGCTTTAATTCAATTATCATTTTATTTAATACTTATTTTCAGCATATTCATAAATATATTGATACCAAATATACAGTATATTTAGAAATATCTTCTTTTGGAATGATATTTAACATGCTTGAATATGGGCACACACTCTCATTTACATATAATATTACAGTTACCAAAGACTCCTTTTTCTTTTTGAATGCATTGACAATGTGAATTTCTTGATATTTCCAGTGTCAAAAATGATTATATAGCTGGTCTGTGGTTTTTAATTATATTTACTACTTTTATTAATTTATGCATATTTCAGACCCTTCTAGCAGATATCAATACTTGATTGAATCCATAAAGATTTTCTATTATAACATATAAACAATCTTATTTTCACTCTGTATCTACTCACTCTTCTTATTATTGTCACAAATTACAAGAGTTAATATTCTTCTACTTCTTTCTGTATATTCCTATAAATGTACACAAAGGTATATAAACCCACACCTAAACCCATGTACAAAGATAATTCTTAACACAGTACTTTCAGCTTTAAGTAATGAATCGCCTTTTGGTTAATGGGAATTACTAATATATTAATCATATTACTGACCTATTTTATTAGATATCTAAAATTTAAATTCAAAACCTAAATATATTCTAAATTATAAAGTATGTTAAAGATTATTTAAGTACCATTTATACATATATGTATGTATATATTTTTTCTTTGAAAAAATTAATGCTGGGAAAATTGAAATTGAGTTAATTTATTTTAAATAAAATGGTTATGTATTATTTTAAGGAAAAGTTTGATCATAAAAGGTAGGTGGGAAAAAAAGTATATTGTAATGGAAAAGAGTAACTAACTATAGATGAACTCTAAATAATCACTTGTTATGAAATCTTAACTAATACTAAAGAATATTCAATATGGTTTGACTAGGAAGCATTACTAATGTCTTTGAGCATGCAAGAGTTAAGGATAAATTACTGGTAATTACATGTTTATATTCACATTCTTTTTAATTTCTCATGTTATAGTATTTGTATTTATTCTTAACAAAAACTCATAAATGTTTACACATGTATTATTTACAACATTTTTAGTGCTAGGTTGATTATTCTCCCCCATCTAGTCTATCTTAATGTGCATTGTGTTTTAGTTTGCTTTTTGATTTTCATTTCTTATACTATTTATTTGCTTATTTGTAAATACAAACTAAAGTCATTAAAGAAAATAAAACTGAACCAAAAGATCTCATGGAATATACTCACTTATTGTATTCTAAAGCCATATGTGAGTTTTAAAAATAAATTTTCCATGCCAATAGAATCTCTATAATATTGTAACTATTATAAAATAATAAACTTTTAAATTTCTGGGGTTTTTTTTGGTGAACTGACCCTTTATCCATCCATCTGTTGACAGACCAGGACTACTTTCTTACTTAGCTATTATGAATGTGTTGCTGTAAATTACTATAGTATGCTGACTAATTCTTTAAAAAAAATTCCAATGAGTGGTGTAGCTGGGTCATATGGTAATTCTATACTTAGTCTTTTGAGCAGCCTCCATACTGATTTCTGCAGTGGTTGTATTAATTTGTAATCACATCAGCGGTATACAAGAGTTCTTTTTCTCCCACATTCTTTCTAGCATTTATAATTACTTGTATTTTTGATGATAGCCACTCAAATTGGAGTGAGGTGAATTCTTGATGTAGTTTTGATTTGCATTTCCCTGATTGCTAGAATACTGGACATTTTTTTCATATATTTGTTGGGCATTGAATTTCTTATTTTGAGAACTGTTTAGTTCATTTGTCCATTTATTAATTAGTTTTTTTGTGTGTAAATGTATGTCTGTGTGTCTGTGTTAAGATTTTTGAGTTTTTTATATATTGCAGTTATTAATCCCTTGTGGGAAGAGTGACCAGCAAAGATTTTTTTCCCATTCTGTAGCTCTTGTCTTCCCACTCTTTTTTCCTTTGCTAAGCAGAAGTGTTTTAACTTGATGCCATACCATTTATTAATTCAATAAAAATGATATGTAATTTCTTATTAGAGTCTATCTAGAACTATGACTTTATAACAGATTATTTTTCATAATATTTCCAATCTTTGTAGTCAGTTTAATTTACATAAGACCACCAGTTTGTCTTCAGGGTCATCTAATGAATCATCTAGTGAAATGCATTAATGGTTGTTATTTTCATGCAATCATGCAATTTTATTTTTAGAAATAACTGAAGTCATTATATTTTTCCCCCTCAATACAGGGTACTAGTTGCTTTCTGCGTTGGATCAGAAACCTGGATGATGAACTACATGCTATTATAGCTGGTAAGGCAATAATTAAAAGAGAATGATTACAATTTTATCAATCAGTAATAAGAATAAATGTGAAATAGCTTCCAAATTCATCTAATTTTTATGTATCTTCTTTTATCTATTGTAATAGAATCCCTACCAAGACACTCACCCAAATATTTTGTCTGTGAGCTAAACATATCTGCCACTCTGACCATCTATTGTTCTATATTTCTTGCAATATAATGTCTTGGATCTGCCTACAACAGGCTAGAAATTTAAAGAATGTATCAGAAAAGAATATAAAGACTTAAAATCTTATATAAGTGATTAATGGCAGTTTAAGTAGATTTTTTAAATTTTATTTTTGCCAATGGAAGGTGACATATTTTAATAATATTTGAAAGGAACTTTAATCATTTTATAGAAATGAAAAATAGATATTATTTTCTAAACTGAAATATATGTAGTTCTTAAGTGAGATTATTTTTCAGATATTTATTAGTAATAATCCTACTTTTAGTATTTTCACATCCCACCCCTATAGAAAAGTGTGACCCTGGCACAAAAATAATTTGAGCTGCTAGGGAAAATAGATGAATAAATA